AAATGAAAACGTGAGTAATTAAAATTGAACCCTTAATAAATCAGATATATTATACGGCCCAACCACATATCCGACCCAAACCCGAAATTATTACCTAAAGTAAAAAAAAAAAAAAAACTCTAAAAATCCCTAATTCTTTGTTCGCTTTCTCGGTTCACAATGAGTCTTGTCATTCTTCTTCTTCTCAATCCCAACATCTCTCCCCTCGTTTGATTTGCCATCGACGCTCGCATCTCCTCTTTCTCCTCTTACTTCTTCTTATTAATCCTTGAATCCAGGTTTTGAAATTATCGTTGTCCGATTCAATTCTTGTCGTGATGCTGAGTTCACAAAATCATTCGATTTGGAGTATAAATGTGAGAAGAGAGGCTACATAGATCTCTTGATGCTTGCTCATCCTCTTCATCTCAAGCTTTTATCAAACGACGGTCGTTCAATCACCGTTCTAGATTGTTTTCGGTACACAACTATTTGGAATCTATATCTTGCCTATCGCTTCCAGGTATGAAGAAATCTGGCCACCTCAGGTACATATTGACCGTCTAAACTCAATACGTTTCGGTTCATGAGAGCTCCGATGTCTGATCCAGAAGTTAGTGGATTTAATGCTTAAAAGTTGTGTTTTGTTCTTCTTATAATTGAGATATGAAAGAGACTGATACTGGCTTTTATTGTGTCATGTAGATGGAAAATATGGTTCACTTTCTTGCTCAGTTAGGGAACGATGCATTATGACACCTTGATGTTCTTTCCATGACACCTTGATGTTCTTGAATTCTCCCACGTATGTCGGAGACGAAAGAGAGGAGAAGACGATGGAGTGGATGAGGATGAGTGTTAGGTGTGTGTTTAGTACTAGTTCTCTTCCTCCTCCCAAGTGGATAGAACCCTTGAATCGTAATCTACAACCATCTCCATGGGTAACAAAGTTTACTATGACTGCTTTTGTTACTAATTCTTTAATTAAGAGCTTGGAATGGTGGAGGAATTGTGGTGGGTTTGGCGCAAAATGAAAGAGAATGTGATTGAGCAAACTTTGTATACTTAGAAAATTTTGATGAACAAATTAGTGAGCTCGGCGTTCATTGATTCCGCAGAGCTGTGTTTTTCAAGTTATGAAAAGTGGCAGGATCAAACCATATGTTCTCTCTTAATTGTAGACATTTATATATATCATTTGTTTAGTCGTTGTCTCTTAGCTGTAGAAACTTATATGTCTTTTGTTGTTGTGTTATAGGAATTGCTCAAAGCTTCTAGCTTTTCTTCATTCGAGACTAGAGAGAGCGTGTTACGCGATGTGTACAAGAGTACTCAAAGGCAGAGAATGGAGGTGTTGCTTTGGTTTCACCCGCCAGATCTCTCGAGAGTGCTGCTGATTTGAAGAAGCTTGTATCTTCCAACATGAGCAACTTCTTGAAGATCACAAAGAAGCTTAACT